GAATCCTGCAAGAAACGTGAAATAAATAAGCAGAATAACAAAACCAATGCCTGAAATCAAAAGTAGGCACATCCTTGAAGAAGTCAGTATATGCAAGATACAAGTGGCAAAGCTCACCACAAATATCTGTGTGAAATGAATATGTTGTTTTTTAAACTTACGTGGCTATTAACATCAGAATAATTGCTAAAACAGGCTAACTACCATGTGCTTTATTTTTATTGAGTCCCTGATATTTCGGCAAAGTACATGGTACAGCAATCCCAGTTTTAACAATCATTCTGATGTCTGAAATAAATTTTTAAATGAAAAACTATCATTGCAAGAGGGCAATATTTAAACAGTGATGGGTAGAAGCTCTTTTGTTTGCGTTGGTTAAAAAGACTACCTGTATAATAAAAGGCACAGCATCTTCTCTCACTGTCAACAGACCACTCTTCACAAAGAGATCTTCACAAAGGAAATGATCTGAACATACAGAAACTTTTTTCTCTGGTTTCCACGGTTCCTTTATACCAAGAACTTGGAGCCATGCCGTTCTCAAAGATGGTTCACTTGGTAGCCTGAAATGTGTAATTAATAATAATATTCTGAGAAATAAATAAATTGCTATTACTGTGATTTATCACAGTAAAGACTCACAAAATTTATTGTATGGATGGGTAAAAGTTCTGAAATGAACCATTTCAGCATTAAAACCTCATATTTATGAATACAAAAATAGTATGGCTGCATGATGTTATAATTCCATTGCTCCTAAAAATGACAGTCTTAGAACAAAAACAATTGTAAAGGATCAGCATTTTTGAAAAAAATCTACGTTATAAATAAACAAATAGGCAGAAGAGCTCTAAAATACCTCTACCTATTATTAAAGACTCAAAGATATACGAAATTAGAAGCTTAAGGGTAAAGATTCACATTTAGTAATGCAGCAAATATAAAAACTTGTCGGAATTTTTTATAATAGTTTCTTTTGTCTTTTTATCTCCAAAACTACTAAAAAATATTGTTATCTCCAAGAAAATCTATAACAAGTCTATGAGTCTCTAAAAGTCCGAAACACACATTATTTTTCGCAAAAAATATTTGTTTTGGTAAGATTTTTTTGAGGTTATGTTGATTATAAAAATCAACTTACTTAAAAAATGTAATATCCAGCGACTTTGGACTGTATCTTGAGTCGCTTTCACATCCTGGGACAGAACACCTCATTTTATTAGAATTTATTATTATTTATTTCTCTGTCTTTATGTTTAAAACGTAGACCACTGTATTTTTTTTTAATTTACTGAAGCATGGCCAGCCACACTGGCCTACAGCTTAAACATTAAATATGAAAAATCTTAACAGAACTTTAATACAAGCTTGTACAATGAACTTAAATAATATAATAAAAGTTATAGTAAAATCAAACGAAAAACCAACATTAATTGTAAAATTTCAACAAGTATTGACATAAAAATTATAAATAATACAATATGTAGTCTTTTGTAACTTCAATCTCTTCAAGCTCTTTTACATTTCGAGGATTATTTTTGGAAGACAATGTTTCAGAATATAAACTAATAAACTGAAGTCTATTGAAATAAGTACCTATATTGAAATATGTACAATAAAAATAAATGGTCAAGATTACAATTTTCAAACTTACAAATAGCATTGTTACTTAGACTAAGACGGTGAAAATAAGATGGAAATTTACAATGACCAGTGGCGGATTTATAAATTTGTCGCTCGTAGGCTATTCAATTTTTGCCGCCCCTACTGACCTCTAAAATTCGATACGTTAGGTTAGTTCACTATCATATTAATTACATTTATTCTACGTCTTTCTGTGTTCTGTGATTCTATTGATGCAATTCTTTATGATTGGAGATCTATAGTCCTCATTATATCGGCTTTTTGCCGTTATTAGTATGATTGTGCATCCTACAAGATAATAGCGTGAGAACACGTATTTCATTTTAAACGAAATAATGTATATATTTTTGCTAATTACACAAAATAAAATTGAATATTTTTTGACATTTTATCAGAGTTAACAACGCCTTGTAAGGGCGCTTGTGCACTACACTGAATTTTCAGGTCCGGCGGTCCGATTTTTTCCGGTCCGGAATGACATGAAAAACTCGGATGAGTAGCTTGTGCACTTGTCCGTTTTTTTCCTGATCGGAGCGGCGCAGTGTAGGGCAGCTCTCTTTGAAGCTACACGTCACTTACGCTATGTACGATGAGATTTTTGGAACGTCGGTAATTCCGTTCGAAGACGTAGAAAGGTACCTAAATAATGATCTGATCGTTTTACATAAACCATAATAAATTATGGCAAGACGAATGAAGCATTTTTTTACTACTATCGGATGACTACTATCAGATGTAAAAACTTATACCCTTACTAATTTAGGAACAGCATTATTCACATACAATAGCTAAAAATATCTGTGACATTAGAATGAAATTACTAATAATGGTCTAGTACTTGATGTTTAAATTTTTAAACGTGCTTTTTTTTTCGAAGTTTTGTAAAAACAACTTTCAGCGATTACAGAGATAGACCAATCGGTGGCGCTTTTTCGTAAACAAATCGAAATTAGTGCCGTGTTAGCGGAGAATTATTATGCTAAATAAACTTTACGAGATCAGTTGACTGTATTATATATAGGCATAATTTTATGCGCGTGGTGTATTTTCTTTGAGCAGAAATATTATTCCCTTAGAATACTTATTTTTTTAAAATTTATTAATGACACAAGCGTACATTTAAAATTTTATTAAATACGAAAAAGACATTGAGTGTCACTTAATTACTTTTGTTAATCTTCTGTTTATTCTTTATTATTACTTCTGTTGACAAATATTTATCTATATTTATCAATTCTAAAAAAAATTTGATAATGACAAATTTCCAGGCAAACTTTCATCCCCTATTTTTCTCGATAAAATTTAGCCAATGTCCTTTCTTAAAGTTAAGTCTATTTACTATATTCATTTCCATTTAGATGAGTTCAGTTGTTTAGGCGTCTAAGTGTAACAATACTTATTTATCTTACCTTAAGCTATCGATACTTTTAATACGATTCTAAAATCTAGCTAAGTATCGATACTAGATCCATACGCTGATCAAATTAGAACTATACCGAGTTTGCAGAGATATATACCAACTATATCAAATCATCATATAAAATATAGCATTTTATAATCAACAATAAATATCGATTATAAGTTAATTGGAAATTAACAATATTGCCGAAATAAATATCGATTCAAATCGATTATTTTTTCCCAAGCCTATTCCTTATGAATTTTCCGGATCTCGGACACAGCAGTGCACAAGCGTAAACACGTTTTTCATTGCCGCCATCACGGACCTGAAAAAACCGGTCCGGAATAGAGAAAAGTAAAATTCCGGACGGTAAAATTCCTGACAGTGCACAAGCGCGCATTACCTACATATGGCCTGACATATCGGACCTGAAAAAATCGGACCGCCGGACATGTAAATTCAGTGTAGTGCACAAGCGCCCTAAGTGGTTGCAACTTCAATGACGTCACACGCTTTTAAATATGGAAGCTATCTAGCATGTGACATCATCGGAGTTGAATATTTTATTTTGTTTTAGCATGATTAGGTCTGTTTATTTACTAGCACGCGACGTTTGATAGACTAGTGATGTGCCGGATCGTTAAAAATGTATATCCGCGCATACGGATCCGAATACCGATATTTGTTGTCAAGATCCGCGGATACGGAACTTTATAATGAATATTTTTTTCAAGTTCCTCTTATTTTCACTGTGTTTGCTCGTGTAATCTAATGTTTACACTTTATATGGTAAATAGTACCTACTAGGTACGCAGTATTAATTTACTTATTAGAATTATCATTCAATTAGAATTTATTTTTGTATTTCTCATCATCTCATAGTTATAAAAGTGATCTTATAACATATAACTTTCTATTATATTAATGTCATTATTATAAAAAAAAAGAGATTTAAGTTAACGATTAATGTTCGCAATATAAAGATTCCAAATATTTGATTTTAAGAAATAAAAAATACTTGAATTGAATTTAATAGTTTTATCAGCTATATATAGCATTTCATCCTATCAATCGAAAATTAATAAGTTAAAAAATCCGCGAGAAAAGTAACGGATACAGATCTTTATTTTCCGACGGATATCCGCGGATACGGATACGTATGTCCGGAACATCACTGACACAGCGTTTTTCGCGCGGTTTCAGATATTAAAACTATAACTTTGATTTTTATTGATAAATACAGTAATTTTCCGCGTCATATCAATGTAATGTGCTTAATATGTAATAAAATAATTTAAAACTAATTTCGAAGTTTTTTTATACAGGATGTTTGGTAATACATGTATAATCCCGAAACATGGCCATACAACCTAGCACAAAGAACACAATTAATATGTCAAAAAACAATTTCACGTAAATTGAGATCTTCATACAAATATTTGAACAATTTGTTTTCAATTAATATGCTACAACCCTGAAAGCTTATACGTGCCGTCCTGGCGTACTCGCTCTCTCTCATTACCTCTCACTCTCTCTCGTTTCCTAAAACACCATCTGTTTTTAGGGTTGTCAGCGTACACTTTAACTTCGAAGAAAAAAAGCTAAATATCTAGGTCATGTGCCGGGTTTCAGACTTAGTGATCATTTTTCTAGGTTCTATTCATCATACCGTATGTGCCATATTCGGGATTATACAGGTATTACCAAACACGCTGTATACCCTATTGTAACTCTTTTAAACGGCGACTATCACTACATAGTACAAAACAAAGTCGCTTCCTCTGTCCCTAGATCCGTATGTATGCTTAAATATTTAAAACTACGCAAAGGATTTTGATGCGGTTTTTTTCATAGATAGGGTGAGATTCAAAAGGAAGGTTTTTATGTATAATACAAGAGCGCGGGCGAAGCCGCTTGCGGAAAGCTTAAACAATAAAATAACACTGGATTCTTTAATAAGTATTTAATATTTACAATTATGACGTCATTATATAAACAATAAGGATTTCTTTTCATGGTATAATAAACCCATGGAGATGTCAATTTTCCGATCACAGTTCCACATCGGATGTATCCAGGTCTGCTGTTGAGGGCGATACTGGTTGTTGATTGACCGTTACCTATAATTAAAAAAATAAAAACTAATTATTATTAATTAATTTCATCAATTTTGCCTACACAAAGCTATACTGATATATACTAACTATGAATAATTCTTAATAAATACCCCGAGATGGGACTTGAACTCACAACCTTTTTTGATCTATTTTTGATAAATTTTTATTAAAAGATTTTTTAATTTACAATTAATGTGAATTTGTTTTTTGGAATTTTTTGGAAATTCCACACCGAAGTAAAAAAGGAATATTTCATACTGTGTTCATATAAATAAAATAATCATATACTTTTGTTGGTTTGCAAGACTTTCATACATTATTATACCTATTATAATATCAGTCAGAAAAACACTGAATTTCCACTTTCATCCACAACTGCCTCATCTTCTGTATTTTCTGACACAATTTCTTATATATGTATAAGTTTGTATAAGAAATTAACACGTTACTATAGCAACCATTGTTTACTATTCAATTTGTCATTGTAATTAGGAAGTATTTAAAAAAAAAACATAAGTTCCCAAATTAAACTAGATGTCGGTACATTCTTGATTTCTCCATGACAATCTTTCCCGTTTTCTTTCATGTATAAAAGTAAATTAGTTTTCAAAACTCAATAAACAACTCATATTCTATTTGTACTTTTTCGTATTTGTATTGATATCTAAGTTTCGAACTTTGCAAATTTCCGTTTTTTTTATATGTTAGTTAAAAGGAACGGAAATGACTTTGGTCCATTCGTTCCCTGTGAAAATCAACTTTTGCCTGAGTCGCCATCTAGTGGAGATGCTTTTTTAGTACTTTCGTTTTTTTTTAATATTTCCGTAAATAAATATTTATATTACAAAATACAAAGGTGTCTGTGTAATAACCAGTGGTCGGAATTAGGTAGAGTTATTCATGTACTTACACTGATTTCATACAGCGAAAGAATAATGTGGATATGCCTCAAATCCCGAGATTAATTTTAAAGAGCAGAAAAAATCCCGTGATTTTTTAAATAAAAAGTTATTTACTTTTACACAATTTAAACTACTGCACGCACGACGTTGCCAAACTTACATCAATGAAATAAAGAAATCCCGGGAAGGTCCACATTAATATCAACATTTCGATGCAAGTACATAAATAACTCTACCTAATTACGACCTCTGGTAATAACCCAACCAGTCTTCAATCTACTAGATAATACAACAATACCATGTTATGTGAAAAAACTATAGTGCGGTGAACTATCTGAACGGTCTAGTAGTGTTGTGAAGTAACAGTAGTGACGTGAATAGTGATGTGTAGTGCTGAATTTAATTAAATGCATTATGTGATTTTTATTGTGTATGTCGCATCATCTTTACGAAGGTCGTTTGATTTAGTTTCTTTTATTTTTAATTGCTTCTTACTCGATTACTTAATTACTCGATTGTAGAGAGAGCGTGATCATCGATACTTCTAATTTTATTAGAATGGTGACACTGACTTTGACAGTTCGTTAACGAAAAGCAAGTTGCCGCCATTTTGGCAGACATTCTGTTTCCGATCGCCGAGGAGTAAAGACATCCGACGACATCACGCTCATCTCGTTATATTTTCGTATGAAAAGTGATAATATGGAACAAATCCATTTTGGTATACATGCCTGCAGTGTTATTTTAAAGATAGTCCTCCGATATGGACGATCTATTTGGGCTTCGTAATAGCTCCTTCTGACTACCCGCCGTTATGTATATAAAGTATCGTATTGTTTATAATCGTCTCACCTGTTGTCCGTCTGTTCGTCTCTTGCCCCTGATACGTTTGGGCCATGGCTTCTTTAAATGCACATGAGCCGTATGTGCTCGTTTCTCGCTTGGTTGTTTGAATGCTTTACCGCAGAATTCGCATTTCCAAGGTTTCAAACCGGTGTGTATCTTGAAAATAAATAACAACAATATAAATACATTTCTATGAAAATTTTAACCAAGAGGTTATTGATTTGAACGCTCAAGTTAGGCTATTAAGTCCAGAAGACTTTAATACTAATTAAGACTGTTTGTAGCATAGTAGCGTAGTGGTTAAGAACCGCGGCGATCGTTGTTGTTAAGCAACTTTCGCAACGGCCAGCCACATGATGGGTGACCAAAAAAAGCGCTACTCCGTGCTTCGGAAGGCACGTTAAGCCGTTGGTCTGGGCTGCATTTGCAGTCGTTATTAGCCACCAATCCGCATTGGGCCCACGCGGGAGGTCATGCCCCACCCTCCTTAACCATTCATAACGAAGGCTTGAGCCCCAGCTTGGGCCGAAACGTAGGTGGATTGGAATATGGTCCCATGCAGTGCTCCACCTGCGTGCGAGGGACATCGCTGACTTTTAGTTTTTAAACTCATGCTTTTGTCTAGCCCCTTAACCCATGGATCCTCATGGACCTAGGAGGAGTCCACATAACTCATGGATCCCGCGCAGGGTGAAGCGAATATGCGTAACGCAATTCTCAGAGTCAAAACAGTGGGGACGAGAAGAGCCCATGATGATATACATAGCAACAGTGGCGGACTAACCACCCTATTGAGGGCCCGAGGCGACATGCTCCCCCCCTCCCCCAAGGTTGTTGTTCTATATATTAAGGTCCTGGATAAATTGTTTTATTGAAGAAATAAAATACGTGTCTACACACCTTGCTTGTTTATTTTATACTAACTGCGGAGATCCTTTCATACACTTATAAAGGAAATGCATTAGCAATAGGCACGGGCGAACGTAAATATAATAATTACACAAACAGTTGTACTTATTTGTCAGTGAATTTGTAATGTGATCAAGGGACTTAACAGCCATTAGAACCGGAGCCCCCCCCCTCACCCCCTAGTAACACCACTCTTTATTATACTCACCAGCATATGCCGTTGCATATTGCTATAATTCCCTATCTGTTTCCCGCACAACTGACATTCGTACACAGACTTCTCGGCGCTGTGTGCACGTTTGTGCATGAGCATACTTTGCTTCGTTAGAAATGACTTATCGCATATGTCACATTTGAAATTGCGTTTGCCCTCGTGTACCCATTTATGGTCATTTAGTAAGGCGTCACTCTGAAATATACACCAATCACATGAATAACTGCAAAAATATCAACTAGCTTTCGCCAGCGGCTTCGCCCGCATGGAAATTTTACGTGGGATAAAAAGTATCCTATTATCTAAGTCAGCTAATACCCTATCTGTTTACCAAATTTCATTAAAATCCGTTCAGTAGTTACGGTGTGATTGACCGACAAACATCCAAACAAAGAAACTTTCACATTTATAATATTAATAGGATATTAATACGTGAAGTAAAAACTTTAGACCCCTTTTTACGAAAAATTGCGCGGACGGAGGTGTATGAACTTTGTCACACTTATAGTTTATATGTAGGAGAAGTGCAAACGGCTGATATTTTTCAATAATAAAGCTTATAGAGTGCATTAAATCGATAAATAAAACATTACACAGACTACTATGCATTTTAGACACACAAACATGTATTTGCTACACGCTTACATGTACTCTGTGGTCAAATTGCTTCTTTTGACATAGAGTTTGTTTTTTTCTTTTGAGTATTGGCTTCGCGCGGTTTGTGCATTGAGCCAGTGTCAAGTTTTATATGTTTACTATAGACATCTATTTATATGTTTGTGATGTTTACTGTGGTCTTACTGGATGTCAAAAGATTTATCCTATTAATATAATAAATGTGACAGATTCTTTGTTGAGATGTTTGGATGTTTGTCGGTCAATCACGCCAAAACTACTGAACGAATTTTGATGAAATTTGGTATATAGATAAGGTATTAGCTGACTTAGATAATAGGATACTTTTTATCCCACTTAACATTTCCCTTGGGTACATACGGGCGAAGCCGCTGGCGAAAGCTAGTGCTAAATAACTTCTAATTGAAATTTATTATGGTCGAATTTCGAGCACTGGGCCGCACTGAATTATTATCTGCCTACCCCGCAAGTCAGCGAAATCGATAAATATATTATAAATATTAAAAATACACGTATACACCAGAGAATGAAAATTAATTTGAAACTGGTCAAATTGGTAAGTGATACTAGTCTCCATCCTTTATTATACGTCCGACGCGGACGAGTTTTACTAATTTCAATTTTATTTACGCGTCAAACTACTGTTAAAGGGAAAAACAATGACTCCCACTGGCATTACTTCTAACTCTTAAAAGTTCCACGTCCAACAAATATAAAATGTATCTTGAGTATGGAGAAACCCAGCCCATACTAAATTTTATCTAAATTCCTAACATCAATAGTAGTCTTAATTTATAAATATCTTTGTTTTCTATATACATTCTATTTGTATTATCTTTAACAATGTAATCAGATAAACGCGCTCAGAGCCTTTTTTATTGTTTTATCTATTACCCCAAAATTTTTAATTGAGATATTTTATTACTGTTTCTTTACGTGTAAAGACCACAAACGTGACATTGGCGGAATTGTGTAAACGCAAATAAGCCATGAATTAGAAAGAAGAACTTTTATCAGTTTCGCGCCAATATACTTCCGGGTTGTCGCTCTTATAAAACTATTGGAATCGACATGGTAATTTTTAAATATATTAACTTAATAGTAAAACGTGTGTTTCATTTCCCACAAAAATGTTATAACAAAACATTTGATTTGATAAGGCTTTTATTTTTATTACATCAATTTGGTAAAAGATTTATTATTAATGAAATTATGGTTATTCATTCCTATTATTGTGCTAAAATCATACTTGCTATTTTAGTCAACCATGACAGGTAACAACAAAACAAAACAATAATAATCTAAACCAACAAAAAAAACTAACTAACATGATGTGCGATCTCAACACAACCCAACTCAATAAATGTACTCGTCAACCAGTGTTTATTTGTTGACGGTACTGATTTTTGAAAGCAACTACGTCATCAAAATGCGCCTGCGCATTAGCAATTTGCACTAATTATAAAGCTTTATAAATTATAATTAACTTACATAGAATATTTTCCCGCACACTTCGCACATACTGAGTGATTTAACCGACGTATATTTGGTACGATTCTTCTCCGGGTGTTTTTTTCTGAAATGGATGTGGTAATCTCGCCATGTTTTCAACTGTACACCGCACTAAAAAGGAAATTCATTAGATAAAACCAGTCGATTACTACTTATACTCTCTTATTACTATACTCTCTTTTTTTAATTAGCATTAGAATCAATAGAATTTCTTCACTAAGTTCATAATAAAAAAGACAAAGAATTTCTAACTGATACACGGTTATTCTTCAAGATCAAATAATCTCAAGTAAAAGACAAACATTATTTACTTAAAACTCGTGGCGCTAGTATCTATTCAATACGACGTATGTAAACTATTTCGATATCAATAAATTACACTAAGTGAAGTGAATTCGGTTTCGGATTTTTACAGAAATGTCCTACAAGTGAAAATACAGGTTTTTGTTATATCTTCGAAAAATATGAACCATTTTAACTTATAAATGTTTAACAAAACAAATTTTAAGTCACTGATTTGGAACATATTACGCTTTGAAAACTTGAAAAAAGTAGAGAAAATCTACTACAAATATTTGTTAAAATACATAAGGCATTAAATTAGATATAAAAAATGTTACAACTTTCATTATAATAGCTATAAACATAAACGCACAAATAACAAAGATATTACAAATATTGTCCAGACGCCCATACATTTTAGGCTACTGCAGCACCATGTGACGTCACCGAGTGCCTTGAATTTGTAGGGAGCGTTTTCGGCCAACTAGCAGCAGTTCTACAAACACAGCACCATATCTCGGAAACTATTAATCGCAGACATGCTGTTACTTCGACATTATCTCTCAGATGTTAATGGACTATTTATTTATGAAATAAAAAAAAAGTTGTCAACTAGCCTATTCCCATGCCCTGAAGGGCAGAAACTGTATGGCGTCCTCTAACAACTCCCTACGCTCCGTGAATTAATATTAGCATATTTTACAGTTTATATTATTTTTCATTTAGAGATTTTGAAATATGTCCCCCCCCATCGTAGCCTATAACGTGTATGAAGAGCTTTGTAAAGCGCGTTCTTTTTTTAAACTTTTAATAATAATAAATAGGTTTTTTATTTTCTCTTTAATTTATAATGGGCTCACTTTTGACCTCAATCTAGCCCAAGGGCATTAATGACATGTATCTATAATATATCTATATAAATAAAAATGAATTTCCATTCGTTAGTCTCGCTAAAACTCGAGAACGGCCGAACCGATTTGACAAATTTTAGTCTTGGAATATTCGTGGAAGTCCTGGGATGCTTTAAACGATGATTTTATAGAAAGTTTTTATTAAGAGATAAGTGATACGAAGTTCACCGGGTCAGCTTTAGCGGCCCCTTGACACTGGCCCCGGGGCAAGTGGCCCATCCTCCTCAAGCTGCCTGCAATGGGGACGTAAAAGGGCAAATAATAATTATATGAATACTTGAAAGGTCCATTACCTGTTCACAAGTTATCGGTCCTTCGTCATTCTTTCTCTTCGTCCTCTTCCACCGTCCCAATCTCCTTAGGGAGGGTTCGTTTCTCTCCTTACCGTCCACGCCTTCGTGTCTCGCTGACACCGATAGATGGCGTTCAAAAGCTTCCGCGTCGAGGAAACGTAAATCACATATTTCACAAACGGGACCGTCTTCGGGTATCTAAAGTATTCAATAATATTATTGGAGAAAGAAAGCCAATGCAATGTATTTATAGCAAGGGCCAATCCAGAGGGGGATGGTCACGGGGGTCACTTCCCCCTGAGAGGGGTTCAGGACCTAATTGGACTATTAATTGAAATTATTAAACATAATGTTTTTATATATATATATTTTATTTAAGATATTCAATATTTAATTAATAGAATACAATTAAAGTGGGCGATAACGCGTTTCGGGAGAAGACGTAAAAGTATTTTTTTTTTAATTATTTATTTATTTATTTATTTATATATATGACTTGACCACGACTATGTGCCCCCTCCCCCCACTCGGAGCCCAAGCTGGATTCGCTTCTTCGATTTATAGTTTTAAGCGGATATTTTTATCTAATAAACAAGAATTTTAATGAAGAACTGTTTATATTAAAATAGTATAACTTTCAGTTATTAACAAGTTCTTACTTAATTTAAATTCTCAACTTTGAGACAAAAGTATCTGCTTAATTTATGACATTTTCTCAAGTAACTACCTCTCCCTACTTTAGATATTAATGTATATTTAAAATTCTTGAAGCGTGCACTTATATCATTGGGAATTTTATTCTCTACAAATATGAATAGAAATTCTCATACAATATAAATTAAAATATATAATTACTAGTTTTCTACCAGCATGGTCCCTAGGGAAATGTTTACTTGGATATCTATTCATATAATGACACAGATATAATTACAATGTATACATCCATCAGCCCTTTTACGTCTCCACTGCAGGAGCTCAGGCCTTCCTTATGGATGGTTAAGGAGGATGAGCCATGACCCCTCACGCTGGCCCAATGCGGATTGGAGGGTATTAACGACTGCAAATGCAGCCGGGACCAACTGCTTAACGTGCCTTCCGAAGCACGGAGTAGCTCGAGAAACTAATTTTTTGGTCACCCATCCCGTGACCGACCCTTGCGAAAGTTGCTTAACGACTACGATCGTGGGCCGCGGCGCTTATCCACTACATATATTATATTATGTTTACTATGGTAACTTTTTAAATTTCCCACAGAAACTTCCATTCCTATTTTCATATCTTTATTTGTTGTTTTTCGGGCATATGATGTAGCTAGTACTTGTAAAGGATTTTTAAAATTGCTCCAGGAGTTTTGGAGCTTATTAGATGCAAACAAAGAAACAATCAGATCTTTCTTCTTTATAATATTTGTATAGATATACTAAATATCATAGGAAAATTAAGAATATCCTACACAATTTAATATGTAATAATTTAAATGCCAAATTTCATTTTAATATAATGATGTTTGTATTTCTGTAAACAAATATTACTAATTAAATTTTACCGACTTCCTAATCACAGTTTGAGCTGAAATTTGGTATATACCTTTTGTTCTGATGACAGTGCAATCATATATAATTGTATTATTACATATATAATTATATTATTACATATATAATTATATTATTATTACTCACCCAATATGGGAATCAAATGAAGCGGCTTAAATTGTAGAATACAATATAAGTACTTATAATATAGCTTCTTTTAGTCAAGGTTAGCCTGGTAGAGATTGCTACCTTAGCAATAAGGCCGCCTTTTGCATCGATGTTTCTAATAATAATTGTTTTTATGTTTATGTGTTAATGGGCAATTAAGTATTCATTCATTCATTCATACATAGTATAAAACAAAGTCGCTTACTCTGTCCCTATATACGCAACGGATTTTAATGCGGTTTTTTTTTCATAGATAGGGTGACTCAAAAGGACGGTTTTTGTGTATAATACAAGAGCACGCGGGCGAAGCCGCTAGCGGAAAGCTAGTATCAAATAAAAGCTTGTTTAAAAGCTTTTAATTTTTAACTTATGTAATACTCACAGGTTTGTTATTCAATCGATGCTTTAGGTTTTTATGTACTGTGATACCCTTCTCGCTTACGAACGAATAACCGCAGAGCACACACACGAAGTCAGACGGATGTTTGATGCGGACATGACCCATATATGATGATTTCTTACTGTAAAATATATTTTCTTTACATACTTCGTCCATATTCATAATATTAACCATACTAATAGTCTATTGATATCGTGTTGTGATTTATCAAGAAATGTAATTTAAGGTGGGAGATTAAACAAAAATTTGATTGTTAACATATAAAATAAAAAGAAGTGGACCTAATTTAGATCCTTGTGGAACTACAGAATGTACATCCCTGTACGTGGAGGTGTAACCAGTACTTTGTAAATGGTAGTCTGACTAGTCTTAACAAGTATATTTTTGGTAAAAAAAAAACCCGTACGTCGGTTAAGATGTTTCACGGAGATTTATATCACAAGATTTTACGTTTACATAGTATTTAGGTATGATTGATTAATGTAATATTAATACGTGTTGTAATCAGAATGTGCATGAGGTGTTTTAAAAAAATTTAAATTTCGAAAAGCGAATTATAAACAAGAAGTTATCTTAAAGATCAGAGACAAAAAGTTTGGATGCGGGAACCTAGGATAAAATAAACGCTATGGTACGACGCATCATTACACTTTTTTACACGTCGTACTTTGCACAAACGTCATTCTAGCGAAGTGTCAGGTTCATTCATACGAGTTTTATCAAAGTTTTGAAATTATAATATTTTTGTTATTGACTTTACCTGTAAAGGCCAACGTGACATTGGCGGAATTGTGTAAACGCAAATAGGTTATTAATTAAACTAGAAGTATAGTATACTCACTAAAACACTTCCCCGCAGTAAGGGCATTTATATTTCATCCCATTATGCCATTCTGAGTGTAGCTTGGCCGATTCTCGATAAGTAGTAACGTATGAACATTGTTTACAACTTAATCTTTGAGTGTGATTCCTCAAGTTATGGTTCTTAAGCATGTATCTAGATTTAAAATGTATTTTACATATACTACAAGAATATTCGCCGCACGCCTGTTGAAATAATAAATTAATAAAGAAATTTTATTTATTTCAGGGCATCATATTTTGTCCGATGCTTTAATAAAGTTACTAGAACATGGTATGAATTCTGATGCGCAATCTCTTCTAAGTAAAAGTTTAAATAAAAAATACCGAATAATTAACCAGCTCCAGATACCCCAAGGTGGACTCGAATCCAAAACCGAGTATGCTCACCGAGTGACTGCTGTAACCAAATGGTAAGAGCAGTCGCAGCTACCCGAGACCCAACAGGACTTGACTTTTTCAAGCACTTATTACTTTTTGCTACTATTGGCGCGTATGTTCACCATATTTTCATCAATCCACTCAAACAACCGAAAGTAATATTTTTAACTTTCGATTAGGATGAAAATGTTTAGAAGAACTGAGCAGTCACCTGATTTGTGTAAGGTTGTGGGTTCAATTCCTATGTCGGGGTATCAGGGACTAGTGAATCATTGAAGATATTTATTAGTGTAGCATTGTGAGAATGCAAAACTGATCAAATATGATATTCAAAGTTCCGTTTAATAACCGTCAAACTCCTTATTTTAATTCTACTAATAACTAGTTAAGTGAACTTTGATACACCACCGCTGGAAATGGTATAAACTTTGCAATATTTTTAAGATCGTGTACGATAAAGATATATATTTGCATACATGTACAAAAGGTAAATTAAGTTTGAAGATATATCAGAAAAAAGACGAAAATTGACCATCGCTACATATACAACATCTATTATTTCGCCCATATAGATATTACTTACCGTAGTATGTCTAATCATATGAGCATTATATGTTATCGCATTCGAGAAGCCCTTATAACATTTCGCACACTTGAATGGACTATTTTTATAATTCAAGCTCTTTTTCCTATTTTCTATATCCGCCAATTGTTCTCTTAAAGTCAAATCGGTGACATTGAAAATTTTCAAGTATTCATCTCCAAATGTTTTCTTCTGACCATCCACTTTTGTTTCTCCATGCTTATCACTTTTAACCCTTACTTTTCGCATGTTTTGTTTCCCTTTTTTAGTTTCTTCTAAAGTTAAACTATTATCCGAGGAATAATCATGTTTATCATCGAATTCATCATATTTGTTTGAGATCATATCATCGTTTATAACTTCTTCGTCTTCACTATTTTCTTCAACCATTTCATATCGAAAATATTCTTCACTTTCTTCCCTAGTTTCTAAAGATTCTTCTTCTAAAGGTAAATTGTCATCTGTAGAACAATCATCATCTTTATCATCGGATTCATTATATTTGTTTGAAATCATATCATTATTTATTTCTTCTTCATATGCATTATTTTCTTCAACCATTTCATATCGAATATATTCGTCACTTTCTTCCCTAGTTTCTTCTAAAGGTAAATTGTCATCTGCAGAACAATCATCATCTTTATCATCGGATTCATTATATTTGTTTGAAATCATATCATTATTTATTTCTTCTTCATCTTCATTATTCTCTTCACCCATTTCATGTCGAATATATTCTTCACTTTCCTTAGTTTCTTCCAAGGGTAAACTATCAACAGAGGAATGATCATCATCATTAACATCGTTTATTTCTTCATCTTCAATGTTCATCGTAGTATTTAAATCAACGTCTTCATCGTCGACTTCTTCGATGTAAAGATCATAATGGTCGATAATAGTTTCTGTCGTTAGATTTGATATTAATTGGTTGTTTTCTCGATTTATTGACTGTATAATACTTTTTGTTAGCTGTTGGTTGGAAAAATTCATCACCCATATAAAATTCATTAGATGGAACAATGTTTGAGAGCTTTCTAAAGCATGATATTTCAGTATGTTGAAGCACTAAGGGTATACATCACTCAGTACCCAGTGTGGGGTCAGGTGCTGGAAAACCTGCAAGTGTAGCATGACGAACTCTAGAACGTTATGTCTACACTAAAGTGTCACATTATTTTTAATTACCTATGGAAACAATAAACTTATTGAGTATTGAGTACTTTTCTCTGGTGCCAAATGACATGCTGGTGCTGGTGATGGCGGAAGCGCGAAACGAACTTCTAGCGATTGCTTAATATGTTTCATATCTTTAAATGAAAAACAGGATAATACTTTATGAACTAAATACTACGACCTCTTTACCGGAGCTCATTTACAGATCATTTTCTGAGTTTTGCTGAGTCGCCATTTCATGATTGTGCAATCTGAGCAGTGGCGTAATAGGGATGATGAGTAATTTTTGTTTGTTTGTTCGTCAGGTAGAGTGTTAAAAAATATTTTTTTATTTTTTTCGTAATCATAAAATTACGGCGTTACATTGAGTTGAAATTTCGCATTACGTCACATTAGAGTACGTTTTTTACTCAACTGTGACGTAGCGAGCCCCCACTCCTCAACTTAAATGCCTGTTATCTAAGCTATTTCTTGTTTAATTGAAGTAAAAAAAAAATACGTATCTAATATATTTCTATTATCTGACTGACGGACTAAATAGAATTGCATTTTTTTACCCAGTCATCATCCCTATTATCTAATTTTAAAATCTATCACGATCACTTTGAATTTGACATTTGAAAGATATTCATGAGCTTCAAGCTACAATGACTATTTGATATATGTGATAGCAATTGCAGTCGCAACTCTTTTTGAAAGATAATGAATGAACGATACCGATTATTTGACGGTAATCAGAAATGTCAAAAGAACTGTCTATGAAATTAATATCATTCAAATCATCAATCGTACCAAAAACGATTATGGCTTTAAAAGTTACACATTTCCATAAATAACACAATCGCTATACGTTTGAACGGGATTATGAGTCTAAGTTTTTCGCAAATTTTAAACTATTAAAAACAGATTTAACGTGTGTTACGATTTTTCATACTTTAGATTGTCCCGCACCCCACCAGGTGTTCTAGCACCTGACCCTCACAGTGAGTACTGAGTGTTATAAAATATCCAGTTTTAGAAAGCTCTTGCACACTTTTGTCTTAGTCTATCATTACGTCAAAAGAGGGCAGAGTGGGTCTACGAAGTGTGATATTGTGTGACAAGGGGTCCTACATTTGTGGGCCGAGTGTCTTGGTGACTCGATCATGATGTCCGGGGTCTCAGACCGCAGGAGAGGGTACACCTCAGTGGATATACTTATAGGAACCATGGGAAACCTTGTTGGGAAAGCCGCGAGGCGGGTTCACGAAGGAATGTCCCACACACTTTCACTTATCAAGTGGCAGGTAGTGCTTAATGTATTTCCCCGATGCACAAAAAATAGGATTTAGAGACGATCCAACAATATCTATACTACTGAATTATTTACAGAGCAAATAATTTTAATGGAAATAACTTATTATAAAGGTACTATTAATGTATGTAACGTTACACTAGGAAAGGGTACATGGAAGGTGCTTAGTCGGTATGTCATCCACGTTTTGACTGGCCTTTGGGCGGGTCCCCCACTTGACAAGTGGGGGGGACCCGCCCAAAGGCTAGTGCATAAACTATCCCTTTATGTTAATAGGTTATACTAGGGAGTGGGGCAATATGTGACCAGATGTGACAAGGACGGGAAGGGGGTAACATAAATCCCTTAACATATAAAATAATAGACTAAAATATGATGTCAAATTTAAAGTCTTATCATGGAGAATTTCATGTTTCAAGGTATTGCCAGTTCAAAAACGGGACCCTCAAAGTATATTGCCAATTCTTAACCATTGGTTTGGTAGTGTCAGAAGATGACGGAACCTTACCTGTCTCTATCTACACGTACGATTATCGCAGAATGATTTGACAGTTTGTTTATAGCTGTAATTTACTGCTCATGCATCAGTAGATAGAGAGGCAGACAAGGTAAGACATCTCTCTTTCTCTATTATACTAGATTAGATACTCATATGCTGTCCCTAATTCTAAGAATATAAAAAACTTATCTAATTCAAGATCTTTAAGTGTTGAGTTAACCAAATACTCACCTCATTATATTCGTTAAGTAGCTCCACCATAAGAGAGTTGGCTCTCAAACTTTTGTGCCTGAATCGGCTAAAGTTTATTAGTCTCTGAGCGCATTCCGCGCATAATTCATTGGGTAAACGTTTTTCTGCCAATAACTGTAATAGACACGAAGTTAAGTACTACAAATTAGTAAGTGAATTAGTCTGCACTTATACACAAGTACCGACACCCTTAAAATATATATTTTATCTAGCCTTTGTCCGCGACTTCGTCCGCGTGGTAAAGTTACTTTGAGCAGTATTTATAACGAGTTCGTCATTCTACGCGTTCTGGTGCCAAAGCTGGATCCGCCCTTGCTGGAAGATATTGCTCTTTAGTTATGAGCCTAATATTGTACTGTTAAAACATTTAAATTAATAATAAGGTATTCGACTACGCTTGAAATAATACTTGTAACCGTTCATTTTAATTAAAAAAAGGCATAAAATAATAATCTCAGAAAAATAAACATGATTTCTAAACTTAAAAACTGTCCGTCATATTCATGACGTCATTGTGATATGTAAACAAAACAGATGCATAGAGTAGAAGATTAATAAATGTCAATAAAACATGCCATCTTACACCATCTAACCATCAATTATGAAATATAAGCTAAGAAATATAATACAAATAAGCTAAGAACAGCGGCATACAGGAATTTGATTTATAATATGATTAATCTAACAGCAGTCGGCACAGTGACGTCATACAATGACGGGTCGTGTTTCAAGTTACGTGACACACAAACAATAAAATGACAACTTTGAATCTTCTATCTATATATATAAAAATGAATCGCAAAATGTGTTGGTAAGCGCATAACTCAACAACGCCTCGACCAATTTGGCCAAATCTTTTTTTAAAATGTTCGTTGAAGTTCAAGGATGGTTTTTACGGCGAGAAAAATTAGAATTATTGCTGGAAAAACCCTAAAAATAGCCCTTTTCTTTTTCCCATACAAATGATTTGTAACTAAAACGTAGTCAATTTGAGCTTTATTGCTATGGTATAAAGTTCATATTAAATTACAAGCACTCACTGTTGTCTAAGTAATGTAGGTGTGTTCCTAACGTCAAAGATCATATCTATCAAAAACAATGTGCGTGTGTGCGTTGGAGCACAGAATACATAGTTGGAGGAGTTTAATGTCGCGTTCCGAAACTCGCGTTTCTTTTGTATTAGTTTCGGCACGCGAGATAAAATGCATCAGATTTTTTTTAAATACGTAGGCAAAAAAACTGCCACATTACAAATCTTTTTGACAGGACGAAGTCTGTCGGGTCAGCTAGTTTTAAGATAAAATAATCGTGCAATTTTAAGAATAAGAATCTCCATGTTTATTATGATGTAAACTTAAGTTTTTGTGTAATTTCGTGACTTCTTATTAACACCGAACTACACTAGTGATGCGACTCGAATAGGATTTTGTGACTCGAGTCATTCGAGTAATTTAACTATCTCACTCGAATCGTACTCGAGTGTTCGAGTTACTCGAGTAAAAAGTCTCTCTCGACTCGAAACTTGCAACTCGAGTTGCAAGTTTGCAATTGAGTGAGATCTCTTTTAGAAACATTTAAACAAATACCTATATTAATTGACTCATTGTCACGGATCGAGTAATAATTGAAATGAAATACACATTATAAGAGTTTTTACATATTATTTATTTAAGTAATCAACAAACTGAAAAAATGTCTTCCTAAGATGTATGAATAATGAAATTTCCATGAATGAATTATTGATAATAACAATCACATTTTAAGCAAATTTTAACCACAAGTAATTTAGTTTACTTTTTATAATTAGTTTTAACAATTATATTGTAATAAGTAGTAGTAAAGTGTAGTAGTAAAGTGACATCTAGCTAGTGGCATGGCGGCAATCGAGTGCATAGAGACTTAATATTTTTTTTCACTCGAGTGACTCGAGTAAAAACAAGGCTCGAGTCGCATCACTAAACTACACTACCCTATATTGTCAATTTTTTCATATACAATAGTGTTAATTGATTATTAATACACAATAATAAAGTGGTAGAACAGTCATCGTGGCTCGGTGGCGTAGTGGATAAGCGCCGCGGCCCGCGATCGTTTTCGTTAAGCAACTTTCGCAAGGGTCGGTCACGGGATGGGTGACTAAAAAATTATTTTCTCAAGCTACTCTGTGCTGGTCCTGGCTGCATTTGTAGTCGTCTATACCCTCCAATCTGCATTGGGCCAGTGTGGAGAGTCATGGCCCATCCTCCTTAACCATCCATAAGGAAGGCCTGACCCCCTGCAGTGGGGACATAAAAGGGCTGATGATGATGAGAACAGTCATCCCCAGTATCCCCCCCATTCAATAGTATGATGAATGACAACTACTTACCGAGACTCCTGTTAGTTGTTCATAGGCCTGTTCTAATTTGTATTTGCTCATAGAGATCAGCTTTATGTCCATAACTAAACATATTCTGCATGCCTATTAAAGGGAAACAAAAAAATTGGATCTTTATAATATTGTTAATTTCAAATATAATATATGCAACTAGGGTCATGCATAAATTATGGCTAGGGAGTGGGGGTCAAGTATGAGGTTTGTAATAAGGGTACTGGGTCCAAAATTTTTATGATGAAACATTCCAATCAAAATCAGATCTAATAAGAAAACACTAAATTTGGATTACTTAAAATGTAAATTCATTGAAAATAAAACTATTTCAAACAATTAAAAGTACTGTTTTAAACTAATATTATAATGATGTAAGATTTGATTGATTGTTTTCAACAAATAGGCTGTGAAACATATGAATAGATTAAAAAAAAAATTTCAACAGAAAGCTACATCTTATGTGAATGATATAGTATATCAAATCAAAATTATTTATTCAATTTAGATTGTTACAAGCACTTGTGAAAGTCGAGAACTACGCATTTGGTTCGTAAATCTATGGCGGGAGACCTTGTACCAAGAAACTTAGCAAGGGCTGCTTTTTTCTCCTTGTTTTATTTCATACAGAGTGTCAAGATTGAAAAATTACTTCATTAAAATATTAAGTCACTGTCCATTACAATATTAGAAAATATAAAAGTAAAACAGAATTTTTGTTAATTGAATCACATGTCTAGTCAAATAAGCTCACCGATAAATAATTTGATATACATAAAAATAAGCATATTCATAATATATGCATAATAAATATATTCTATTCATATACAATAAATAATTATAATAGCAAAACATTCTTACCGCTGGAGAAATTGAGGGTATAGCATCCGATTTTAATAATCGACGGGAATTTCCAATATAAAAACTTGAAGGCTGGAAATGACGACTGCATACAACTGAGTTCTTGGTAATTTTTTGCTTCACGTGTACAATGCTGAGCCATTTTCGTCGCATGTCCTCATTTTTCGGAAGACTGTAGATAAAGAGTTTGATCAAGGAAACTTTGTTTTAACTCTTTGATTATAGTTTAAAATCAAAGTTTTTGGCAGTAAGGGGCACTGACACTATATCTAAACAAGTGTAAAATCAAAGATATAACCATTCATGCAATTTCATTATCATTGGCTCTTCTATGATTTAGCCACCAAAAAGTTAGGTCGCAATGGTGTATTTATTATTTGTTCGGCTTGACTCCGGTTGTTCACCACTACTCTGCTTGATATGTACCCGGGCGTCGTGCGAGTATAAGGGCAGGAGATAAAAGTTAACTTCATTGTAAACTTAAGTATTAGATTTACAATCTTTTTATTTATCTTACCTGTGAAAAGATATATTGCAACCACCATAGGATTCGCTTGGACAAGCATAAACGCAACACTTTTTTACCATTTTAAATGTATATATAGGAAATTTAATTCAATTTCCTCGATATTGGCTCTTCTATGATTTGGAAACAAATAGAATTCTTCTTCTTCTTTTTTAATTCATGGCCTATTTGCATTTACACAATTCCGCCAATGTCACGTTTGTGGTCTTTACACGTATAGAATCATTAATAAAATATGTAAAATTTTGAATTTAAATAAAATAATAAAAAAAAAATAGCTCTGAGCGCGTCTATCTGATTACATTGTTAAAGATAATACAAATAGAATGTATATAGAAAACAAATATATTTATAAATTAAGACTATTATTGATTGCAAAGAATTTAGATAAAATTTTGAATGGGCTGGGATTCTCCATACTCAAGATACATTTTATATTTGTTGGACGTGGAACTTTTGATGGTAGCAAATCATAAAGCGAAATGGATAAATTTGAACAATTAAATAGAATATGATCCGTAGTTCCTTCCTCGATGCCACAATCGCAGAGGGGGTTGTCTTTAATTTTAAATTTAGCAAGTCGAATTGGGATACACACATGTCCAATTCTCAGGCGACAAATAATTGAAATCGTTTTTTTACTTAAAAGCTTTTCCTTAAAGAACCAGGGAGTACTGGGGATAGTTCTCTGAATGTCAAAATAATACTTTCCCGCTCTATTTCTAGTATTTTCCCAATCAACATTCCATGACCTCATTAAATGTTCATGTGCTAGTACAAAGAGATCGTGATGAAAAAGTTTGGAATATTTTAAAGAGCCAGTTATAACAGCTTGCTTAGCACATGCATCAGCTGTCTCGTTCCCAGGAATACCACAGTGTCCCGGTATCCATGCGAGGGTAATGAGCAGCTTCTTAAGATGGCACCTATGCAATGCTTGTCTTATTTTAAATATTATTGGAAATTTATTTTTAGATCGAAACGGATGTGATATTATAGACTGTAAACAACTCTGTGAATCTGTGAAAATGATAGTTTTGTTAAAGTTGTGAGATTCGGCAAATAGGATGGCCTCAAGGAGAGCTAAAGCTTCTCCTGTAAATACAGAAGAGAGAGAGGGAATTTTGAAACTCAATACTAATCTGTGAGCAGGAATCCATACTGCTGAACCAACTGGATCATTAACATGCTGCTTGGACGCATCAGTGTACATAGAAATCCAGCCTTTATATTCCGATGCTAATTTCCGTGCCATTGTACGCATGGCATATGGAGAGTCTTTGTCGATTCCAAAATCAAGAAGAATGACCGGCTCAAAAATAAGTGATTCAAAGCTATTTTCAAAAAGAGGAAGACGAGAATACCGTTCTATGGGAAGGGAAGGAGTATGGAATTTTTTGTAGCTATGGAGGATACAAGAGACACCTACCGATGAACTGGAGGAAGTACTAGAAACTTTCAACAATATTTCTAATTTTTTAGGTAAAGGATGGGATGCACGTTGTATAACTTTAAGGAAAAATCGATCACTCAAAAATTGCCTACGCAGATACAAAGGGGGATCAACGCATTCGATCTGGAGGAGACGATTTCATGGCACCTATAATAATCCGCAAGCATTTTGATTGAACTTTAGAAATTTTATCAAGTGGCAACTTATTACATGGGTCTAAAAGAAAGGAACCATAATCGAAATGACAGCGGACTAGGGCATTATATATTAATTTTTGAGTGAATGGATGAGCACCCCACCATACACCCGAAAGAGCACGGAGAACATTGACCCCTTTCTCGCATTTATTTACAACACTATGGAAATGAGGAGTTCCTGATAATTTAGAATCTAGAATAACGCCTAAAAATTTTACTTGGTTATTCATGGGAATAGGGACATCTTGAAAAACTATTTGAGCTGTAGGAATGTTACGCTTTCTGGTAAACACTACACTGCAGCATTTAGAAACTGATAGTGACAAGCCGTGATCCATTAGCCAATCACCAAGATAACTTAACGCAGTATTGAGACGAAAGCAAGCTTCCTCGATTGAATTCGATCTTATATAGAGGGCTACGTCATCTGCATACTGTAAGACTTGACAGAATGAATCTACAACACTCTCTAGGTCATAAGTATAAATACTATATAGCAGGGGACTCAAAACCGAACCTTGAGGTAAACCATACCAAACAGACCTGACTATAGAAGGCGCTCCATGACATTTGATTTCAATAGACCTAGCTGAAATAGAATTAACTATGAATCGAACCAACTTCTCAGGAACACTCAACTGAATCAATTTACGTCTGAGAATTGGAAGAAGGACATTATCATAGGCGCCTGCTATATCTAAAAACGCAGCAACTACATATTGCTTTTTCTTAAAAGCTATACGAATATCAGTCGTAAGTATACTTAAATTATCCAGAGTGCTGAAACCCTTTCGAAAACCAAACTGAGATTTAGCCAAAAGACCTTGACTCTCAAAAAACTACTCTAGACGATTCCTGATCATATGTTCTGACACTTTGAAAAGGGTGGACGATAACGCAATGGGCCTATAAGAATTATAGTCCAAAGGGTCTTTGCCAGGTTTAAGCAGAGGGATAACTAGTTGCTTATTCCAGGATTCAGGGATGATACCAAATAGAATTAAAGAGTATTTACATATTATTTACTTTTTCAATTTACACCACAGACTTTTTACACTACAGAACAATAATACTCTACAAGTATTCGTATTCGTTCTATACTACTCTGTGTTACACAAAATCTACCCTTTTTTTTGTTTGTTGCTTAACGGCTTTGGAAACATCCATACAGCCACATCTATAGTACTGTTCTTTACAAAGGTAAATTATCCTTTTATATTGTATACAGCATTAAGTTTTCACATCATATCAAAAGTTGAAATTTTAAATTGTAAATACATTCGAACGTATCTTCATTTTTAAAATGTAGTCGTACACATTGTAGAGGTGAAGTTTATTTACCAGTAAATATCCATCTACTAGATATTTTACACTACTAGGCCGAACCTGTTATAATTTTCTAAATACCTAATAATTCTATAATTACACGATTTTCAATACTTATTTAAAAAAGTTAAAGTAGAAAGGTCATAATCGCATTTACGTATCATGCTCACCTACTGTGGGGAACTTGGCCCACGTTCTCTTTTAGTTTATTTGCAGGTATTTAGTAATGTTTATAATAAAACGATATTGTATCTTTGGTAATGTATTTGGATCTCTAGATTTTCTTTATATGTTAAACAGACAACCATCAAACATTTTTTTCTTTATGAACTATAAAACCTTATTAATCTATGACATCTATCATTCCTTCCATTTTACAATTCTTGATTTTAATAAATGAAATGAAATCATCTTTATTCAAGTAGGCTTATTACAAGCACTTTTGAATAATCAAAAAAAATTTTTTTCCCCCTAGCACTTGTTCAGGACGTCTTTTAGCTGACAAGAACAAGCGAAAGAAACTTACCTGCTCTTTATCATAAGTAATGACATTTACATAAATCATGTGATTACCAAAATAATTATATCACAATAATAAATACAACTTTCAAAGTGTGTAGGTCATAGGTAGTTCATATAATTAGTCGTTATAGAACAAACCGAAGGCTATTAATTCCATGCATTGCGATCCTTAAAATAATCATCAACTTTATAATAGCCATCATATAGCAAATTAAATATACTTTATTTTATAATCTTATAATATAAAGTATTGAGTTCTCAGTCAGACTCTTATGGTCAGACTACACAGTGAAAGTCCTAATCTCTGACTGAAAACTCGGGGGATGTTTTAAGTCTAGTCTAGGCACAAATAAAGCTAAGGATTTTTGAATTTTACTTTACTTTTGATTTTTAGTAATAAAATTATGAAATAAAATTAAAAATATCTCTTTCTCTCCGGCAAAACTGTTTCATTTTTTCATTAATCGTCTCCTCTTTGCATCCAAAGAGTATTTTAACACAAACATTTTGGCTGCCGTATAAAACCTCGTTTTTTTTTTCTCTGAAATTTTTTTTTAGTAATTTTCTGTGTATGAAAAATCTAATGTTCATTCAAAAATCCAAAATTTTTACCCTATTAAACGACAGGGGCGTCTTCATTTAGTTTCTACTGTTTGTACACAAAGGCATATTTTGGCACTTATTGGAGACGGGTTTAGACGGGTTTGGCAGATTTTGCCAAATATCTAGACAGTGTCGGGCTGATTTAAGATTTTTGAAGCGGTCACCCTGGTCACCGGACCGAATAAAATCGTCGCCTACAAATTAAATAGAAATTTTCGCTTGCAAATCCCTTATTACTTTCTAGTTATTGGGTACTCTGGCATTGTTTTTTAATTGATTTTTATTTTTATGAAAAAAAGGAGATAAGACAAAACCGTACTATTTTCGAACCTATAATAGATAAAGACATTAGTTTTAACGTGTATTATACTTATTTAGATACCAATCAGTATAAAAAACGTGCAAGTGCGAGTCGGACTCACGCACCGATGGTTCCGTAAAAATATCATATTTTTATACCTTAGAACGTATCCAAAATACTTTTGTTTCGCTATATTGGTTTGGAAAACTTGTTTGAACAGCTTTCCATTAAAATTATTATAATAGAATTAAGTTAATAATATATGCGGGGTAGGGGGGGGGGGGGAAACTTCAGATGCAAGTTTCAAAACATATCGTTATGTCAAAGTCGATATCAATAAATCACTTAACAAAGCCGATATATCGATATTTATTATTTGAATCTTAAGTAAATTCAAAAATCTTGTTTGTGAAAACCTTATGTCAATAAAATAAGTTTAATCTAAAGTATTTATTTTTTAATTGGCTAGAATTAGTGGCGGCTACATTTTGGCTACTAAACAGTGGCGGAGTAACCTCGGAGGCCCGGGGCGGAAATAGGTCCAGATAGAGATGAAACGATATATCGAAAATCGATACATATCGAGACCCAAAAATGTCAATATGTATCGATATATTCGAAGCGATATTGAAAAACACTAACATAACGAAACAATATCGAATGAAAGCAAAATACTAAATGTATGTCAGTTGTCTACATTTTAACATCCAACGGCATCTTCACATGTGATATCTGTATATATAAAAG